TTCTTTAGAAATTAGGCAACTGGTGTGGCAGATCGCTTGTAAGTGCTCATAGAAGTAACTGCAGGATGTCGACTCAGTACATTAAGTCTAAAATGTTTGTATATATAAACAGAAATCTTAATAAAAAGCATTAGCAAGACTGCCAAAATGAAAAAAAAAAAAAAAAAAAAATACCTTCAATAAAGTTTATTAAGTTTCTATTACCTGTGTTTACATTTTGAACAGTTTTGCTTTTATACTAAACTTGATCTTTACAAAGATCTATAAAATATTTAAAAATACACAATATAATCTAAATTAAAAAATAAATACATACATATATACAGTATACTGTACCTAATACAGTAATAGAGTAGATAACTGTTTAATAAGATCACACAACTAAACTTTTATGTTAAGACCCATGTATTGCAACTGTGGCATAAATCACCTGATCTGAACTTTTAGGAATCACTTTGGTAAACTTATCATATATAACTATATAAAAATAATCTACATGCTTTCTACCTTTAAATTAAACACTAAAAATGCATATATGACTAGTTATAACCTTCAATATAAGATAACCTCTAGTAATATGCCATGTCCTATATACTTGAATAAAAATATCACATTCTAAAAATAAAAACTTTAAAAAAAAACAAAGTTACAATATAGAAGATTTAAATAAAAAATACTTATAGTTGAATTACAAGTATAACAGATAATATAAAACCTATATATAAACAAACTACACAAAAATATATAAATGTTTAAATGTACTCTCTAATATAAAATAACTTTACTAAAATATTTAATTATAAACTTTTGTTTCCTATAATATTAAATAAAAAAACCTAAATTTCAAAAAAATTAACTTAAAATAAAAAAAATAAATTATATCTTTAAAGACCCATAAGTCAATAATGTAATAATTAACATTCCCAGGTCTCAACATAAGACCACAAAATCACAAGTTGAAGTTTAAAAAATAACAATTCTGTTAAGATTATAATTAGAAAAAATTTACAAAAAACTTTTATTAAAAAAGAATGCAATCACCAACATAGTCACAGAGTTGAGGACAATCAGATAAGACGCAATCTATCAACAAATGAATTAACATTGATTTAAAAATACATAACAGTAGAATTAAAAAATCATTGAATAATCCAATTAATAGGTTATGTGAAGTTAGAGAACTGCGGACCGAAGAGGATAATAGGTCTTACACCGCGGGACCAGGAACCCGGAACGTTATATGGCGGACTTAATGAAGCATGAGTTATCTCACGAGTTCAGTGACATGATAACTCTGGCCTTTAAGAGATGTCAGATCCTAAAGGTGTCTAAAAACCTTCAAAATAGTGAAGAAAGGTGGATATAAAAAAATAAAAAAAATAACATCTTCGTGGAATTAGGATGTAAAGAATTACTTAGTGTTATTGTCTAAAAAAGATTTTTTATATCTATATAAATACAAGACAAGTCTATAGAATTTCCAGCAAAAGAAAAAAATCACCAATTTTATGCTATGTATTATAGATATATAATGACCCATTATACATATTTTTCGTTGATTTTATTGGTTTCGGACTTGTAAGGATGTCCGGATTTGCAGGATAATAAAAAAAAAAATTAGATTATCAAAAGATTAAGGTTCTTAGTCCTTGGCATGGGTAAGATAAAAGTAAAGGGGAAAGCTGGTGCAGCTACAAATTATATTACGAGAAACCAAGCATTAACAAAACTTCAACTATCACTTGCGGATTTTAGGTTCGTCATTTTAATAGTCATTTCTAATCTGTTAAGTTCTTAATCTGTACGATAAAGTATAATTCTAAACCCCAGATTATTTCTAAAGGCGAATATGTATTCTTAAAGGCATTTACCCACGAGAACCTAAGAATAGAAAAAAGGCAAACAAAGGATCAACAGAGCCTACAACGCTTTACTATACTAAAGATATACAATATCTTGCACATGAACCAATACTTAAAAAGTTCAGAGAATACAAAGTTTTTATAAGGAAACTAAATAAAGCACTCGGAAAACAACAATTAAGTATCGCAAAAAACTTAGAAAAGAACAAGCCTGTCTACACGTTAGACCATATCATCAAAGAAAGGTATATAAGTGTGATGTGATTATTAAACTATCTAAAATTCTAATCTGTTATTTTTTTATCTTATTAGATATCCGACTTTCACTGACGCATTGAGAGATCTTGATGATGCATTATGCATGCTGTTTTTATTCGCTACCTTTCCTTCAACAGATAAAATAAAGTCTGAAACTGTTGCAAATTGTCAACGATTATCCCTTGAGTTTCAACATTACGTGATTCGTACTCATAGCCTTCGTAAAGTATTCTTGTCTATAAAAGGCATTTATTATCAAGTTGAAATCAAAGGTCAAACGATAACTTGGCTAGTTCCTTATCAATTTAGTCAACAGGTATAATTAGAATAAAAATTTTCAAAATTTTCTTTTTTTTAAAAAAAAAATCTTTAATTCATATTATTATTATTATTATTATTAAAGATTCCTAATGATGTTGATTTTCGTGTTATGCTTACATTCTTGGAATTTTACCAAACTTTTGTTGGCTTTGTAAACTTTAAATTATATACGGATATGAACCTGGTCTACCCTCCAAAATTGGATACATCAAAAGATGATGGCGCAGCTGGTTTAAATGCTATTATTATTGAGGTGACAAATAACCTCTTTTTAACATCAAGTCATGTTAAAGTTGATAAACAGCCGGAAGGTAGTGCTTTGCCACTTGAAGAGTCGGTACGTCTTTATATGTTTGTGTATTTTTGAGTTATTATCGTTGGCTACATTAAAAAGCTCAAAAAATTTCTGAATTTATAATTTGTAATGCGACAGATAAACTTATAATTTCCATTTTTGCGAAAAATTGATAGGTGCAAAAAGTTAACTCTGAAGAACGTTTGAAAACATTACCAGAAAAACTTGTAGAAATCAAAAATAGGGATGAACATCATTCTGTATCAGAAACCGTGCCAGATAATATTGATAATGTTGAAACTGAGGAAGCATTAGTGGACGATTTTATGGATCAAACACCTGTTCCATCTACATCCCAGGAGCAGAATGCCTTAACTCAGACTTTTACTTATCGTGATATTCAGTCTGCGTCCATAGCACTTTCGGAATTTGAAAATTTATTTTCAAAATGTATATTTTATCTTTCACGCGAGGTTCCGAGATATTCTTTAGAGTTTATCATACGCGCATTTGGCGGTCAGGTCGGCTGGGATGACACAGTTGGTGTAGGATCACCGTTCAAAGATGACGATGAACGTATTACCCATCATATCATTGATCGTCCAATTATTAAAAGTATATCCTTATCACGTGTATACGTTCAGCCACAATGGGTTTATGATTGTATCAATGCTAGAAAATTGCTGTTGACTAAACAGTATCGGCCAGGTCATGAATTGCCGCCTCATATGTCACCTTTTGTTGAACACAAAGAAGGTGATTATGAACCTGAAATAGAGAACGAATTTGAAGGAATGGTTGAAGAGACAAATGTACAATTGAAAGAACAACAGAATCAAATTGAAAATAACAATGCAAACGAAATTAACGATGATAGTAGTGATGATAATACAGATGATAGCGATGATGGTGTTGAAGAAGATGAACCTGTAATACCTGTCCTCAATCAAGATAAAAACGATGTAAGTTGTACATTCTATATATGCTGTATTATAGTTTATTTTAACAATGAATATTTTTTATAAATAATAGACGGACAATGAAGACATGGTTTATCAAATGGAACTTGAAGCCGAAGCAGCTGGAATATCATTCGCCAAATATAATGAAAAACAAGCTAAACAAAGAAAGTTCCATGATAATAGCGCATCGAAAGTGCGTGTTGTGAACGGCAAAAAACGTACTTCTAAAGAAATTGAAGAACAAGAAATTAAAGAGTTGTCCAAAATAATGATGACAAAAAAACAGAAAAAACTATATTCAAAGATGCAGTATGGAAAGAAAAAGCAGGAGGAAAAGGTTTTAAATTTAAAACGTAAAAAAGAAGAACTTAAACGTCAGAAGAAAAATGCTGTTTCTACGTCTTTAAAGGATGACAAAAAGAGAAAATAAAAAGACGATGGTTTTAAAGATCGCGAAACTTACATTATTGAAAATCTTATTTTTTTTTTTTTTTTTGGTGTATCACCAATACAAAAAATGATTATAATAGAAATACAATATACTCCTCGAAAAAAAATAAAATAAGTTTGATATAAACAGCATATAACAATCTTGAAAACCTAATACAGCATAACCTATTATAACATTAATTGTCTCCTCGTGCTTATTGTGGCATTTGATTATTGAACTGTTACAATTATCTATTATTGCAGTCTACAACTGAAAATTTAAAATATATACAAATATTTCATAAAGCAACAGCATGTACTACTTTTTTGGACCACTTCGTTGTCTCTTTTTGTTTCCAGGAGTGGCGCTATCAGTTTGCCTTTTAAGAGTGCTTTCTGAAATCACCACGTATTAAGAAATTAGAAATGGTGTTAATAAATTTTTTATGCACAAATATTTTGATAATCATATAATAAATGTATCTACTTGCCACTAATAGCTGGAGATTGTGTAGAACTTTTTTTTTGACGAGGTGATCCGATATCATTTGCATTTGATACCAAAGCCGATGGTGCTAACGTTGGTGTTTGTTGTGGCGTTTGTTTTGGTGTTAACGGTGTCGTAGGAGCTGTCCTTAAGTCATTAGAATTGATAGTCGGTGGAATACTATTATAATTTTGAGCATCACTCTTCATTTCCTTCTTAACAAGTGGCGAATTCTGGATATTTGGAGTAGTTGTTACACTGTTTGCTACTGCTTGTGCAGCCACATTAATATTATTCGGGTTCTGAGATTGGGATGCAATTATACTTAATGCATCTAAAAAAGGTTAAGATAGTACCAAAATAAATATGAATACCGTTTATATCGTTTATTAATTTGAAAAAAAATCTTACGTATAGGTCCTATGTTTCGATTGTTTATGGTGTGCATCATAACATCATGCATATAATCAACGCCCTCTCCAACCTATATGAGTAGCATAAAAATGTAATATTAATATACATAAAAAAATATGATTATATTTGGCAACAAAAAGTGTACCTCCAAGCATCGCATTGTCTTATGGGGGATACCATATTCATTTAAAGGGCTTGGTATTTGTATAAATTCGTGGCATTGTTGTTTTGGTAGAAATTCTGTGTATTTCGTTGTTTGAAAGTCAAATTCCATCATTTTTAAATTGCCGTTGAACGTGACGGTTAATTGACCGGGTGCAACAACCTAAATAACAGAAGTTGAAAAACTGTTCATTTCATACTATGCAAACTGATTTATTTTATCTTCGAGACATCAATAAGAGTAAATGTTTATAACATACTTGTATTCCATTTCTATAATGGTATACTATTGAAGCTGATGGACACACCACTTGATTATATTGCGAAGGCCGCGGATTTCCTAAAATTAGTTGGATCTTTATTACTCCGGATTCAATGAATGTTTGATAAAACCTAGGTATGACTTGGTACTTTATTTCTGTTATATAAAATAGTTATTATACAATTGGTAACTAAGGCAATGAAATCTTTAAGAAAAGTTGCAAACTATCTTACCAAAAAATTTCTTTTGAGAGATTGGTGCCCATAGAGTGTATTTCATCGAAGTATCATCAGCAAAAAAACGATTGGTCAACTCCCTCCAGTGAACCTCTTTCCAGTGAATAATGTTATCCTTTTCAAATAATGAATACATTTAAATGCTGAATAAAGATTGTAATATTTTGATCCAATTTACTTACCCCTAACTGTTCTGCAAAACTCAAAAGCCTCATAAAGAAAGCTTCTTTTTGAATTCTGAAATTTTATTAATATAAATAAATCACGAATTAGCGAACACCAAATCGGTCCAAATTATTCATATATGTTCAAATAATTGAAATCAAGACTTACTTGAGTAAATTTGGTTGATTTGGAATCCTTCTAATAACATTTATCTGATTATTCGGAAAGGGTATGCCCGGCATATAAGCACCGTTGATGTGTACACCGTTTGGTTGCATTGTAAAATGCGCAGGTCTCGTTATTACTCTTTGGCCGTTTTGGAAGCCTGGGTAAACGTTTACAGGAACTCGGATCGCCGTTCCAGGCATTAGTCCAACTTGATTAAAATTATTCGCCATTCAAAAGTTACTGGATCAAGTAAATCTATAAACAGAGTTGCAATAAAGCTCACACTAAAAAAAATAAAAACATATATGTATATAGATATATGATAATTTATTTAAGTATGCTAATATATGTTGTTTTTTTGATTCCGTAAAATTACTTTCAGAATCGAAGAGAGAATATTAAAAAAAAAGATTTACAGGATTTTACGTATATTCGTATGTTACTGGCCAGATCGTACCCAATTATATCTGATATGAATAATTTTTCGCAATTGCACCTCCCTGATTGTGTAACACAAAATTATTCCATTATTCTAGAATTAAAATACAAAAGGTTTTTACTGTAGTAATATACAAGTCATAGTAAAATCTTATGTAGCAGTAATAGGTTTTGGACATGTCCAAAGGTTAGACAATTCCGAACATGTTCAAATTAGTTTTGGCCTGTCTGATATTTTATTATAGTATTTTTTTTTGGTATTAAGGTTTTTATTACAGTATTTTTTTTTAAATTTTTTTTTTTCTTAAGCAGTTATACTAGTACTTTATTAATATTTTGAAATTACATTTGCAATTATATAAATATCTCTAACAACTAAGTCTAGTATCACCCGACCACCTTAATGGTACCTAAGTGCAACCTGTCATATTACTTCAAGCAAAAATAAGTTGCTTATCAAATTACTTAAAGTTATAATAGAAGAGTTTTTTTTTTTATGACAAGTCTCAAAATTGTTTTTTGTGTTTCTTTTTTGATTTGATTTTTTTTTTCTTGTTTCTTTTTCTTTCTTTTACTCTTTGCTAATTTGTCTTTTTTTTTTACTTGGTTTTTTTTTTTTCTTTTTTTTTTTAACTTATCTGTTATTCTTTTTTTCTTTTTCTATTCACTAATTTTCTCATATCAGATTCTTTATACTTGTTTATAAAATATATTTTAGGTTGTTCTTGCTATTATATTTGTAATCTATTGTCTTTATGTTATACTTGGAATTGTCATAATCTGGTTTGTTTCTTTTAAAATTTGATCTTTAATTAGTATCTTTCTTATTTTTATTTCTTTTATTTCTGTTTTTTTAAAAAATACTATATATAATACATATAAAAAATCCGAACTTTTTCTTTTTCTTTTAGCCTTTTTCAGGTTGTTATAATGATTACTTTTTGGATTCTTCTTTACAAATTTTTTGTCTCTTACATATTACCAAATATGTTTGTATTTCTTTTATTTTATCTTAATATACTTAATATTCTATAGTTGTATATACATTTAGTTTTCTTTTGTTAAAGTTTTTTTAAAGTCAAAAATTTATTTATTATATATTTTATAAATATATTTCTCTTGGCATTACTTCTTCTTGTCATATAATGTATCTTTTTAGTTATTGTTAGTCTTTTCTAAAACTATATTTAATCAAATTATAATTTTTGTTTTTGATTCTAAGTCTTTAATTACTTTTGTTTCTTTTTATTCTGCTTCTAATCTTGTATTTATTATTAACTTATATAAGAATCTTACTGGTATTTTAGTTTATTTATTTTCTCACTTTAAACAATACTTTATTTTTTTATAATTGACTTTTTTTAGTTTGTATTATCTTTTTACTTGTTACTTCTTTTTTTGTCAGACTATTAATTTTGTTATTTTATCTATTTTTACTATAATATTATATTTTAATTAATTTTATTTATATGTTTTTGTTATAATAAAATCTCTAATTTTCATTATCCATATTGCATTCTTTTTTAAAAAAAACTTATTTTTGTCTGTTTGTTTTAAACCTTTATTAATCTTTCTTATTACAACATTACTATCTGTATATATTTTTATTTATTTTTTTGATATTATTAAGATTACTGATCATATTGCAATTAGCTCAGTTATTATTGATGTCTGTCATCCTTTTAGACTTAGCATTATTTTTTTTTCTGGCTATTCTTATGTTTTATTTGTTTGAACCTATTCTATACTTATCTTATTTTTAATTACTATATCTTTTTTAGTCTTTATATTTGTTGTACTATTTGTATATATTGTATATTTATTCTTGTTTTTTATAACATTTCTTCTCAAAATTTTTATTATTTCTTGATTAATGTTTTCTTTCAACTTTTGTTATCTAATAATTTCTATTTCTAATTCTTCTATTATTATAATTTTAAGTTTTTGTTTTTCAAATTCTAGTTTATTTACTGTATCTTTATTGTTTTTATTATTTGATTTATTGCTATATTAATTTTGTTGTTGTTTTTTTTTATTAATATATCTAAAACTATATTAATTTTATTATTTACTCTAATTTATTATTGATAGCTATTTTTTGTCTATTTCTTTTCTTCTATACAGTTATTTACATCTATTTATTTTAATAATTAGTTTATTTTTTTTATTCTTTATTTGCCAGTATTTTATTAATTTTTTTTTTAACTATTTTTTTTAATTGTTTATAATTTTGTACAGTATATACTATCTATTTTTTATCATTTATTTTTTGAAATATTTTTCTATTTAATTTATATTGTCTAAGTATTTGTTCTAAAGTATTTTTTAATTTCTCTGCTTTCTGGTTTACTAAGTATTTTTAGTTTTATTATTTTGAACTACTTTGTTTTATTTTCTTATTTGATAGGTCTTAATAATTTTTCAGCTATTGTTATATAATTAATTTTTCTTTTTTTGTATCTAGCAGCTAATTTAAAAATATGTATTATTTTATAGAAATTTATTTTGTAAATATTTTAGTTCAAAAACAATTAATTTATAAATAAGATTATTTTATAAACAATTAATTTATAGACAAGTTTTTTGTTTTTTTTAAAATATTGATAATAAGGCCATGTCTTTATCTTTATTAAAACTTAGTTAAACTTTTTATAAGAAGAATATACAGAAAAAATTTATAATTGAATTTTATATCTATAAGATATTAAGATTAAAGACTCAGACAAGTTATCTGTGATCTAAATTTACAAAGTAGTCAAGGCTTATCTAGATTTCAAAATTTGTAATTATAATAAAAGGATTTATTTATTTATTTATTTATTTTTTTTAACCTTTGGCAGCCACGATGGTCAACCAGTCAGAAGTTTATTTATAAATGTTTAGTACAGACAATATAC